AAATGCAATTTTCGCTGAAGGTTTGCGCGCGTTTCCCTTTAGAGTTGCTGTCCCGTTTTTGGGCGTGGCGTGTGTTTCGCCTTCATTTATGCGATTGGAGTTTATGCAGTGCGCGAAGGGGTTCCAATGTGCTCGTCGCCGCGGTGCGCGCCGATTTTACTGTGTGTTTTGGATATTATGGTGTGGGGCCCGTGGGGTTGTGAGTGGGAATGGGCGGGGTTGGCTGACACGCTCGACGTGGTTAGACCGACTCATATCACACTCCCTGGCCTTATCGGTTATCGTGCACCTAAGCTTTTTAGCACATTCCACTCATATCTGCACTTTCCAGCTATACCTTATGTTCCGCGTCCTACAGTATTCCAGCCGTACTCTACTACTGTACCTGCTTGTTTTTGTGCGGCACCTTCTCTATTCCATTCGGCTGTCGGTTTTTGCATCGGTAGTATGTTCTTACACATTATTGCGCATGTTTCAGCCCACTTGGAATCCTACCGTGCTGCTCGTTTTTTTTTTTTTTTTTTTTTTTTTTTTTTTTTTTTTTTTTTTTTTTTTTTTTTTTTTTTTTTTTTTTTTTTTTTTTTTTTTTTTTTTTTTTTTTTTTTTTTTTTTTTTTTTTTTGTTGGATCGAGCCTATCAGTATGTATCCACTGTTCGATGTTGTAAGCTACACCGCTCCCATTGTTCCGTCTCTGCCAAGTTCTAGTCCTATTCCGGTCCAGTTTTGTTCCATGTTATTATAGTGTAGTGTCACAGTGTTCCACTGCGCTCAAGGGCGCAACCATTACATCATGAAGTCATAATCCCTTGAAGTAAGACTCCCTTGTGGAAATAGAAGCACGTAGGTGATCATCTGTCATGCACCGCGTGCGCAGGTAAGCTCATGCCAATCCTTTTGCCTACGATGAGTCCGCCATCGTGCCAGCGAGTCAGTGTGGATGGCGATCCGTCGATCACCGCCTGGAAGGCCGTCACATGTGTCACTTCGTGCCTCGATTTCTGGAATAAGTCTCATGTGGCTTATTTGGGCCGTCGCGGGGCAGTCTTGGGCACCTGTGGGACAGTCTCGCGGGTCCCTTGGGGCCCTCTTGGGCCGCCTTAGGGCGCTTTTGGGCTGTGTCTTGGGGCCCTCTGGTGCCGTCTTCCACTCCTCGTCCTCGGCGGCGTCCAGGGACGGCAGGGGCGGCACGCGGCACGACTGGGGGTGGCCGTCGGCGTGGAGCGGCGCGCGCCAGCGCAGCGGCTCGCGGCGGCAGCACACCCAGACCTCGCGCGCCACGCCGTCCTGCTCGAACCGGTCGAGCAGGCGCTGCCACTGCTCCCAGGGCCCGTGCACATACGATCCCGGCACTTGGCGTCTTGCGCAGCAGCTCTGGGTCCTCCCTGCGCACGCGCCGGATGGCTCGCGACCAGGCCTGATTGTTCCAGGCCGTGGCCTCCTCGCGCCCCAGCCCAATCTGCACTAGGTTCAGCAGGTCCGCCACCGGGTCCACGCCCGCGCAGGGTCCAGGCGCGACGGGGACATCTGTCATCATGAACGCCAGGACGTGGGGCCCAGTTCGCTGTCCGGGGGAGGTCTCTTGAGGCTGTTGCAGGGCCGCGTTGGGCCGTCTGGGTGCCCTCTCAAGCCTTCTTGAGTCCCTGCGGATGTCCTGTTGGGTTAGCTTGGCGAGCTCTTGGGACCGTCCTTGACCGTTTGGGGGCCCTCTTGGTGCTTTGAATGGGTACCTCGGGCTTTCGAAGACCGCAAGTAGGTCGATCTTTGATCGAAGAGTGTGGAAACGACTCACACTGCAATCTGGAGGAATCCATGTTTTTGGCCTCCCGAGCGTCTTGGGGGCGTCTTGGGGCCTCTTGGAGGCCTCTTGGGATGCATTCGGGCGCTTTTTGGGGGGCTCTGGGTGCGTCTTGAGGCAATCTCGGGCCATCTTGAAGGGCCCTGGTGGCCGTCCGAATGCGCCTCTGAGGCCCTGGAGGGCCTTCTTGGAGCGCCTGGGAGGCGGCCGGGCGCCCGGGGTGGGGTCTCCCTCGGAAGGGAGGGCTGGGACACGCGCGCGAGCGTGGCGCGAGTGGGGGCGGGGGCCCCAAAACCTGCAGAAGCCCTATCGGGCAGCACCTGGCGTTCTCCTTCCCAGACGTCGGGCGGCTCGAACAAAAATTGGGACGGAGGTTTTTCGTCGTCTTCGGCCTCTCGGGGCCCGCGCCGGGCCTCGGGGCCGTCAAAAAACGATTCATGTCTGCGCGCGAGCGCTCGAGTGCAGCACCGTGTCGGCACCAGCCATTAGGCAAGAGGCGGTCACACCCCGCAGCGGCGAGCGCAGAACTGTATAACACAAATTCTTTTGTGCTGCTGCGGTGCTGCGCAAGGCGTCGATGTCGTGCAGTATGGCAGTGGTGCCCCACGTGGGGAGACCCATCAGTTTAAATCACGTATCGTGAAGATTGTGTTCATTGCTCCCATGCCGTCGTTAAAAAACTGGCCCCGGGGAAGTGGTCGGGAGGTCGGGGGCCCGTGTCTCGAAACAACGAGGCGTCGGAGGTCTGGGTTCGCCTCGGCGTGCCAGGGGCCAGGGCGGCGGATCGGTGGAGGAGCACCTTCTGGAACGCGCGGGAGGGGAGTGGGAAAGTGTGGATGGGGAGGCATCCCGCCGAGGAGCTCGAGGAGTCCTCGGCATGGCCAGCGCAACTGCCAGGGGCAGCCGGCGCAGCGCGCGGGGGCAGAGCGCGCTCGGGCAGGGGAGCCGCGGCGGCCAGCTCCCGGCCGGAGCGAGCGAGCACTGCAGGCTGAAGCCTGCGTGGGGCTCGCGCAGCGGATCGGCCGGGCGAGCAAGCGTGCGCGCAAACAGTGGTGCAAAAGTGCGCGTGCACGTGATCGTTTTTTATTCCGTACCTGGGCTCTGCCTAGAAGGGTTCTTACTTTGAGGCTTACAGGGCCGGGCAGTGGGGCACGCCCCGGGCGGTTCCCCCGGCATCCGCCCCGCGGTTCCCCCAGTGACGTTCCCTTAGTTTCGCGTTGCTTATCTCATCTTAGCTTAGCTTATTTCATCTTAGCTTAGCTTCATCTTAGCTTAGCTTAGCTTCATATGAGTGTTAGATGTTGCTTTCCTAGATCCTCCAACTCCTAGGTAGGGTCGCACTGGGATAATTCATTGTTTTGCCGATCGGCGCGGGCCCTCGCACCTCCCCTTCCCCCCCCTCAGGGAGTAGATCTTGGCTGTTTTTGGCGCCTGTTTCGAGCAGGGTGGGTCCTTCTCCTATAGGACGCACTGTTGCAAACAGTCGCACTAAGCAGAGGTCCAGAGCAGATGTCGAAGCGCCGAAAAAGAAATCGCTCACCACGCAGTGTGAAGCAAGTAATCGTGCAAGTAGACGGGTGGCACGCACGCGTACGAGGTTGCAATTCCTCGCGTATGCTCCAGTCGATCACGCACTTGCGCAATCAGACAGGCAAGCAAGCGACGGATATTGCCCATGGGAGCCTCGCGCAGAAAACATCCGTGTAGACCGACCGTCCGATCAACCTGTAGAGTTCACACAAGCATGTTTTACAGCTAACCGTAATGGGTTCCTCTCTGCCGCTGGCCCCCCCTTCCAGTACAGTGGGAGATCTCAGAGCTATGCCAGGACGTGTCGGCACATCAACAGCAAGTACGCACGATTGGTATTTCGCAGGAACCTGGAGACGTCGGAGTTGTTGATGAACGCTTTGTTTCCTTCGCAGAGTGCGGAGCTGGCGTAATTTACAAGAGAACCTGGCCTCGGGAGCGCGAGACTGGTGTATCTTACCAAGAATTCTAGCTTCGGGAGCGCGAATTTGGTTCAAGTTACGAAGGATTCTTGCCTCAGGGGCGCGGTTCTCGTGTAGTGTATGTACCAGATGGTTTTGGCTTCGGGAGCGCGAGTCCAGAGTCATTTGCTAGGGATTGTGACTTCGGAAGCGCGAGCCTGGTATCATTATCCAGAGGTTCTGACGTCGGGAACGCGAGTTTGGTGCAGTCTGCAGCATGTTCTGGTTTCGGGCGCGGCTCCGGCGCAAGGTGCGCTGGATTCGGGCCTCGGGAGCGCGATCCGGGCGCAATTATTAAGGATGCTGGTCTCGGGAGCGCGAGGCTGGTGCGGCTGGCAGACATTGATGCTGGCTTCAGGGGCCCGATCCTGGCGTCATTTACCAGGGACTGCTGCTTCAGGGGAGCGAATCTCGTGTACTCTCACGTGTCCCAGGGCCCACCAACAAAAATTCGGGCAGCGCGCTTCGGGGGGCAGTTTTCGGTCCCCCCCTCGCGCGGACAGTGCGAAACCGTTTATAGCAGGAGGCAGGAAGTAAAACAACGAGTGCTGGAGACTGGACACTGTAACTGGAGCAGGTTGCAGGAAACCTCAGCCGCGCAGCCTGACGGCCCCACAGGGGGCCAGCGGATTCTTTAGATGCGAGCCAGCGATGTTGTAAACGAATTTGGGAGGTGAGGGTTCACAGCGACCTCCCGGCCAGGAGGCCAGCTCGGTAATCCGGCAATCGGGGGCTGGCTGGACTGAGCTGGTGCACGGTGCCACGGATGTGACGCGCTTGTGCCCGTACATCTGGAGCGTTTTCTCGTTTTGCAGCCTTCGTGGGTCCTTCCTGGGCCCTTCTTGGAGCTAGCTGCTGGTTTGGTGCTGTCTATGGGCTCTCGTGGGTCTCTGTTGGGGCCATGTTTCGAAGAATAAAAACACCCTAAATATAAACTTTTGGCGCTCCGCGCGGATTTCTTGGATCCGCGCTGGGCCCCCCGGCGGCGCCTCTGGCGCCGCCCCTGGCGCGCTCCGCGCGCCAGGGAGAAACACCTTGCTTGTTGCCTCCAGGGTACTATGGGCCATGTAGGGGCCATCGCAGGGGGAGGCTAAATGTGGGTGCCAGTGGTATACGTGGTGTTGGGGAGCTCGAAATTCCTACTTTTTCTAAGCCTTGGATAGCATGGGGATGGGGGGATCCACGCCTCGTCACCCAAGCAGGCAAGGGTCAGCGGATCAATGAGCTCGGGGCATTCCAGGCTATGCTGCAGTCGCAGAAGAGATTCGAGTTCGAGCCAGCCTTCTGGGAGATGCGGTGGGGTATGAAGGCGATGGAGGAGGGGGAGAACGTCATGGTGAACTACCGCGGCAAGGACCGGTGGGTCAGCGCGAAGGTGACGCGCGTGAACCAGGGCAACGGGGCCTACGACGTCTCCTACGCCCACGGTGGCAGCGACCGGCGCGTCCCTGCCCACCTGGTTCGCCCCAAGGATCCCGCGGACAAGATCGAGGAGTTCGCCGCGGTGTACCAGTGGAAGCCCGACGGCAAGCTCACTGCGGACGAGATCACCCTGAAGTCCGACGGCATGTTGACCAAGAAGAGCCAAGGACTTGGAGCGGCAGGCACGTGGAAGGTAGTCGAGCCCAAAGGCGACAAGGGCGGGGGCCGCAACATCGTGAAGATTGAGTTCTCTGGAGAGGTGAACTCCATAGACATGGAGCGCATCTCGTTGACGACCTTGCGCGCTGTTGGGTCTCCCGCACGCGCTGTGCTGAAAGATCAGAACGAGGACTGCCTCTACGTCGAATACTTCTCTTTCAAGGAAGGCATACCTGGCGACAAGCCGCCCCCCCTGCTGGGGCGGAAGCCGGACGTGGTGCGCGTCGAGCAGCAGGTCTCGGGCGGGTGGTAATGGGGGGTGTCCCAAATGGGGGGCGAAGAGCCTTCTCTTCACCCCTCATTTGGGGAGGATGAGGAGGAGGAGGAGGAGGAGGAGGAGGAGGAGGAGGAGGAGGAGGAGGGCCGCCCCCCATAACCACCCGCCCGAAGGTCTACCGGCTGGAGCAGTCGGAGCCGTGGACGGGGCTGCCCGACGCGTTCGCCGAGAAGTTCGTGACCCGGTGGAGGGGCCACCTCGAGATCACGCGGATGGGCGAGTACACCATCAAGCTCGAGGCGGACACGGGCGCGACGCTGTGGCTCAACGACAAGCTGGTCGTCGAGGCCCCCGGGGAGGTGAACCTGAAGCTCCTCGCGGGCCCGCAGCGGGTCTGCCTGGTGTACTTTGCCAAGGCGGCGGACACGAAGATGATAAAGCTGTCGTACTGTGGCCCAGACTCGGGGGACGAGATGCAGGTGATACCCGTGGCCGTCATGCAGCACAGCCTGGAGGACTGCCGCGTCGAGGGCAAGCCGGGCTGGATGGCCGAGTACTTCCCGGAATCCTACGAGGATGGGGTCATCCCCGAGGCGCTGGACCCAGACATCGTGCGGGTGGAGAAGCAGCTCGACTTCGACGAGACCAAGGACGCCTGGCAGGGGCTTCCGCCGCGCTACAGCTCCAACGGCGACGCAGATGGCTTTGCCGCCCGCTACACGGGATACGTCGATGTCACTTGCGGCGACGCGAAGAAGGCGAAGTACACTTTCGCGCTTGAGTCTGGCAAACGCGGCAAGGTCTACATCGACGACAAGCTGGAGGTCGAGGACGACGAGCCCACCGAGGTGGAGCTCAAGAAGGGCAGGCACCTGTTCCGGGTGGAGTTCTCCTGCAAGAAGGGGGAGCCGCACGGGCTGAAGCTCAAGTACAAAGGGCCCGAGACGCTGCCCAAGCTCGAGGAGGGCGAAGAAATTCCAGACGACCCAGAGTGGGGTTTCGTCCTGGTGCCGCCCACGGCCACCTTCTACTACAACCTGCCGCCCTGCGTGCAGTGCAAGGGCAACCCGATGACCAAGCACGAGGGGGCGGTGTGCCTCATGCTGTGGGGAAGCGACGACAAGCGCATCGCTTCCGTCGGCAGCGCTGGCAAGGTGCACCTGTGGGACCCGCCCACCGGGAACCACATGGGGGAAATTATCATCGGAGCGAATGTGAGCACCGGCTGCGCGTCGAAGGCGTCCACCTCGCTGATCGCACTGGCTCTGGAGGACTCCGATCACTCCATTCGGCTCATCGACCTCGACAAGCCGAACGACAAGGAGAGGCTGCTTGTGCACAAGAAGGAGGAAGAGGAGGAGGAGGAGGCCGCGCCAGCCGAGGAGGAGGAGGAGGAGGGAGCAGAGCCCCCCGAGAAGCCCCCGGAGAAGCCTGGAGCGCACGAGCTGAAGGTCAACTGCTGCTGTTTCAGCCCCGACGGGACGCTACTGGCCTCCGTCAGCGGCGACGGCCTGGTGAAGATTTGGGGCGTGAACGACCTGTCGGAGAAGTGGACGATCCCTGTGCGGAACAAACTGAAGGAATCGACGACAGAAAAAACAGCTGCGTAAACACAAACCACTGGCGCTCCGCGCGGATTTCTTGGGTCGGCGCTGGAGGAGCGCGCCAGGAGCACCGCCAGGAGCGGCGCCAGAGGCGCCGCCAGGGGGGCCCAGCGCCATTCCAAGAAATCCGTGGCCAGCGCCAAAAGTTAATATTCATACTGTTCTTTCTTCTTTTGAGGACGGAAGCGAGGAAAAAGTTCCTGTGCTGACGTGTGCCTTTACTGGCGATGGCAACCTGCTGCTCACCGGTGGCCAGGAGAAGTGCCTCCGCATCTGGAACCCAGCCACCGGCGAGCCGTGGCGCGGCCCGCAGAAGCTGCTGCCGAAGGAGGCCCCGCCCGAGGGCGAAGAGGGATGGCCAGAGGGCGAGGAGCCCGAGGATCGGCTACACGTATCGTCTAGGATTAACGAACCCGTAACCAGTGATAGAATAGTCAAGACGTGGCCTCGCGCAGGTCTCCGTCCTTGCATCGGGGATCATCGATCTGGACGGTTTGGTTCGGTACATTTGGACGGTTTGGTCTGCCTCCTGACTTAGGTCCCCTCCCAAAGGGTTAGGGGTTCTTTGATTGCTCATCCGCGTGAGAACGACCCCTCGCCAGGGTGACCTCTGGTGCTGGCCCGCCAGGGTTCCCCGAGCGCCGAAGTTCACCGAGCGCGAGGGGGTGGCAGCGGCTGGCGCGCCCAGATTCGGCCCCCTGGCGGCTCCCAGCAGCCGCGCACCAGAGGCCACTCTGGCCTACAGGGTCACTCTCGCGTGTGGCCGAGAGGACAAGTACGAGCCAGGGGAGGTGATCGTGCTAGCAGGCCACAACGCACCCGTGCACCACGTCACCTTCTCGCCGAAGGCCGAGAACCTGAACCGGTTGTCGGAGAGTTGGCAAGGTACACAGAAGCACATGCTTTCGGAGGTCAGCGCGGATTTCTTGGGTCTGCGCTGGGCCCAGCGCCGATCCAAGAAGTCCTCGTGGACCTCCCAAAAGTTGATGCTCAACCTGTTTTGTCTCCCTCTAGGTTCGCCAGCTGCAGCAGCGACGCGACCATCTGCATTTGGGACCTGTCGTACACCGAGACCTCGGCCACCCTCGAGGCGGTCATCGACCCCATCCAGTGCCTCTCGCAGTTCGTCGTGTGGTCCCCGGATGCGGCCACGCTCACCGCTTCCTGCGAGGACATCAACGTCCAGCTCTTCTCCGCGGTGAGCGGGAAGCCGCGCGCCGAGCCGCTGAAGGGCCACTCCGCCACCGTCAGGGCCGCGGCCTGGGCGCCCAACGCGCAGTGCTTCGCCACGGGCTCGGAAGACCAGAGCGTCAGGATGTGGCAGGGGAGGAGAGGCCAGCCCAGCCCCGAGGTTCGCCGAGTGCGAGATCCTCCGACGTCTTCGTTGGTGCCCGTCGGTTTTCCAGCCCCGGGATGCTTGCCAGCAGCTGCGCCTCGCCGAAAGCTTTCCCGGGGTGCCCGAATCGTCCCGAGCGGCCGCCAGAAGCCCGAGCGATGACCCAGAAGCCACTCAGAGTCGATGGAGGAAAGACCACTCCGATCCCCATAACAGGCGTGTATCAAACAGCCCTGGGCATTTGCTAAGCAGCCCTGCCCTGTTCGATTCCTTCCGTGTGTGCCTTTACAAGAGGGCTTCGACTGTTACGAGGGTGGTTCTTCTGCCTTCTAGGATGTGGCACTTCCTGGTCAACCGCAACATCACCGAGATCGCGGAGCTGGAGGGCGAGCAGATGGTGTTTGCGGACGACATGCAGAGCTGGGCTGAGCTGCTGGCGCACATCAGGCAGGACTTCAAGACATACGAGAAGGGGCTGTCGGACTACGAGCCGTCCATCCGGTCACTGCGCAAGTCCCTTGACGAGGCGCTCGACCGCACCAAGTCGTACATCAACCGCGAGCAGCTGCTGGGGTTGACTATCACCGACTACTTTGAGCTCGACGGCATGATCGACGACTTCGCGCCGTATTACCAGCTGTGGGACACGGTGATCACCTTCCAGAGGTCAGAGCTCAACTGGACCAACAACGTCATCAGCTCCCTCAAGGCCACGGAGATAGAGAACCTCCTGGACCAATGGTACAAGGATGTCTACAAGATGATCAAGACTTTCGACAACGACAACATGCGTAGTGTGCAGAAGATCGCCAAGGAGCTGAGGCAGGGCATCGAAGACTTCAAGGTCAGGTTCCCCTTCCTCCGGGCGTTTGCCAACGAGTCGATCTTGGATCGGCATTGGGATACGATGTTCGAGCGCATGGGAAAGGCAAAGCCCGCACCGTATGCGGAAATCACTCTGCGGATGATGCTCGACCTGGATGTCCTCGAGTTCACGAATGACTTTGAGGAGCTTTCCACAGCCGCGGCGAAGGAGCATGCGCTGAAGAGGTCGTTAGCCAGCATGAAGAGTGACTGGGAGCCCCTCGAGTTCCAAACGAACCCCCGCAACGGCGTGCCGCTGCTCAAGGGTATCGACGACATTCAGACGGTCCTGGACGATCACATCTCGAAGACGCAGGCGATCCGCAGCAGCCCCTTCTGCAAGCCCTTCGAGAAGGAGGTGCACGAGTGGGAGGCTACGCTGATGTACATCCAGGACTTCCTCGATCAGACCATCGCTCTGCAGAGGTCTTGGATGCAGCTGGAGCCCATTTTCGTGTCCGACGACATCAAGCGCCAGCTCCCGCAGGAGTCCGAGCAGTTCGGCCGCATCGACGGCAACTTCCGCATGCGCATGAACCAGGTGGACGAGATCAAGAACTGCATCAAGATTTCGCAAATTGAGAAGATCGTGGAAGATATGACGGAATCCAATGTCACGATTGAGAAGGTGCAGAAGGGTCTTAAGGACTACCTTGAGACTAAGCGGCTCTACTTCCCGCGATTCTTCTTCCTGAACGACGCCGATCTGCTCAGCATCCTCGCGGAGACCAAGGATCCGACGCTCGTGCAGCCGCACATGAACAAGGCCTTCGAGGGCATCGCAAAGGTTCGCTTCGACGCGAACAATGCCATCATTGAGGCCATGATCTCGGCCGAGGGCGAGAGCGTCGACTTCAAGACCGTCGTGGATGTGACGACTCCTGGCAACGCCGGCGCGGTGGAGCGCTGGCTGCTGGAGGTCGAGACTTCGATGATGGACACGCTGCGAGACGTGACGCAGAAATCCAACAGCGCGTACGCGACGTCGGACCGCCCCAAGTGGTGCTGCGAGTGGCCGGGCCAGGTGGTCCTCTGCACCGACTGCATCTATTGGACCTCCGAGGTGGAACAGGCCCTCAGGGCCGGCGCCATCGCCAACTACGAGAAGAAGCTCTTCGCGCAGCTCGATAAGATCGTGGACCTGGTGCGAGGTGAGATGACGAAGCTTAACCGTGTCACCGTTGGTGCCATGGTCACCATCGACGTCCACGCGCGCGATGTGATCACGGACCTCGTGAAGGACAAGATCAGTTCCCCAGACGACTTCGCCTGGCTTGCTCAGCTACGGTACTACTGGCAGGAGGTTGGTGCGTTCACGAGGAAGGACACGCAGAAGCTGAACACCAAAATGGAGTGCAAGGTGGCGATTGTGAACTCGGCGCTGCTGTACGGATTCGAGTACCTCGGGAATTCTGCCAGGCTTGTCATCACGCCGCTGACGGACCGGTGCTACCGAACTCTCATGGGGGCCTTCGACCTCTACTACGGGGGTGCTCCAGAGGGACCTGCAGGGACTGGCAAGACAGAGAGCACAAAGGATTTGGCCAAGGCCTTGGCGATCCAGTGTGTCGTATTCAATTGCAGTGACAGCATGGACTACCTGCAGCTGGCCAAGTTTTTCAAGGGGCTTGCAAGCAGCGGGTCGTGGTGCTGCTTCGATGAGTTCAACCGGATCTCCCTCGAGGTGTTGTCTGTCGTCGCACAGCAGATTCAGCAGATTTCGCTAGCAATCAAGCGGCGAGTAGAAACCTTCATTTTCGAGGAGACCGAGATCAGACTCGTTGCCACATGCGCGGTCAACATCACCATGAATCCAGGTTACGCAGGCCGCTCAGAGCTTCCAGACAATCTCAAGGCACTTTTCCGCCCCGTTGCAATGATGGTGCCGAACTACGCGCTCATTGCGGAGATCCGCCTATACTCTTTCGGCTACTCCGATGCTAAGCGTATTGGGACGAAGGCCACAATGGCCTTGAAGCTCTCTTCAGAGCAGCTCTCGCCACAGAAGCACTACGACTTCGGCATGCGCGGCCTGAACGCGCTGCTCGTCGCCGGCGGCAACGGCAAGCGTCAGTACGGGGATCAGTACCCGGAGGATGTCATCGCGCTGCGCTCCTTCACTGACGTCAACCTGCCTAAGTTTACCACGGCCGACTTGCCGCTCTTCAAGGGTATCATCGGCGACCTGTTCCCTGGCGTGGAGCTGCCACCGAGTGACACTGCCAAGCTGGTAGAGGTCATCAGTAACGTGTCCATCAAGAATGGTCTCCAGCCTGCAGGACCTTTCACCACGAAAGTCATACAGTTGTGGGAGACCGTCCTCGTTCGCCACGGGCTGATGACGGTCGGCATCCCTCCGTGCGGGAAGACGAACGTGAAGAACGTGCTCGCGGAGACGTTGGCGGAGCTGGCAGATGGAGGCGATACCTACATGCCCGTCACGCAGTACGTGGTTAACCCCAAGTCCATCACCCAGGCAGGGCCGCCTACGATTCGATGCGATGCGATTCGATTCGCCAGCTGGGGCCGCGATTCCAATACGATTCGATTCGGTCTGTTTCACCAGCATCGGCCGGTGCCAGTCAGAGCCTGGTGCGGCGATCCGATTTCGATCCGATTCGGGAAGATTCGCTGGCGATCCGACCCGTTCCCGATCCGATCTCGACCTCTCGACTCGAGCCAGCTCATGCCTGCCAGGGGCAGCTGTACGGCGAGTCCGACCTGAACACGCAGGAGTGGACAGACGGCGTGCTGGCGATCGCCGTGCGCGAGGCCGCGAAGGCCTTCGGCGACGGCAGGCGCCAGTGGGTCGTGCTCGACGGGCCCGTGGACGCCATCTGGATCGAGAACATGAACACGGTGCTGGACGATAACAAGAAGTTGTGCCTCAACAGCGGCGATCGAAGAAGAAAAAGGGCCATAACCATAAACCTTTGGCGCTCCGCGCGTGTTTCTTGGATCCGCGCTGGGCCACCCCCAGCGGCGCCTCCGGCGCCCCCCCCCTGAAGCGCTCCGCGCGCCAGGGAGGGGGGTCCAGCGCAGATCCATGAAATCCGCGCGGACCGTCGGAAGTTTACGTTTATGCCGTTTTTTTCTTCTTCTAGGCGAGATCATCAAGCTGTCGGTCGTCACCACGATGCTGTTCGAGGTCCGGGATCTGGACTACGCATCGCCAGCGACTGTGTCTCGGGTCGGCATCGTGTTCCTGGAGCCGAACACAGATCTGGGGTGGGTGCCGATGTTGGACTCTTGGCTTCTGACGCTCCCAGATTATGTCAAGGACAAGCACAGCACGCAGATCCATTCTCTCTTCCACAGCTTCTTCCCAGTGATGCTGGAGTGCACCAAGCGCGTGAAGACCCCATTTCCAGTCTCAGATGGTTGGCTGTGCTCCATGGCAAATCGCTTGATGACCGCGTTGATTCAGGATAAGGCTGAGGTTTACTGCAAACCGACCATCGAATTTGAGGAGGGTGAAGAGGTTGACGAAGACGCAGACAGAGGGCAAAGTTTTGCCGATCGTGAGGCGATGATCGTTCAACTGTTTTGGTTCACGATGGTGTGGACCTGCGGGGCCTGCACCGACTCCGATGGCCGAGCCTTCGTATGCGAAATCATACGTAGCTGCCAGGACAACAAGAAGGATCTTCTGAAAAAGTTCAATTTCGTGGAGGACTTTGAGAAGATTGAGCTGACAGGTGGTGGCACCACTCACAGCCCGCCGCGCAAGGGGCTGATGCACGATCTGTTCATTGATTCTTCTGATGGAGGGAAGTGGAAGCCATGGACGGATCGTATCGCGGGCTTCGACATTCCAAAGGACGCGCCATACCACACCATCGTGGTTCCCACAGCGGACACGGTTCGGAATCAGTTCTTGATCCGTACATTGATCGAATCTTCTTTCAATATTTTGATCAGTGGCCCAACTGGCACTGCCAAGACAGCGTCGATCCAGGGCATGCTGTTGTCGGGATTCTCGCCCGATCTCTTCAGCTCGATCGCCTTCGCCTTTTCGGCGCAGACCACAGCGAACCAGACGCAGGACGTGGTCGACGGCAAGCTGGACAAGAAGAAGAAGGGCACCTTCGGCCCCCCGCCCGGGAAGAAGATGCTCGTCTTCATCGACGATCTGAACATGCCCTTCAAGGAGACGTACGGTGCGCAGCCCCCGATCGAGATCCTGCGGCAGATGTTCATCCAGACTCCCTTCGGCTACGGGTGGTACTCAGGAGGGGAAAAAGCACACAGACACAATTAATCGTCGATTCCCAGGAAAATATGCGAAAATATAGGAAGTGGGGGGAAGACGAAAGTCCCAAAAAATATGGAAAATATTGGGAGTCCTGTTATTCGTGTACATTTATTTGTGTGCCCCTGGGCCCCTTTAGGTACGACCGGAAGGGCTGGGAGTTCCGCAACTTGGTCGACATCAACATGCTCGCGGCCATGTGTCCACCAGGGGGAGGCAAGAACGACGTCACGGACCGGTACTCCCGCCACTTCAACTTGGTCTTCGTCACGCCATTCGACGACGAGAGCCTCAACAGGATCTTCACCACCGTGGTCAACAAGTTCTTGTCCGTCATGCCCCGAGACGTCGCCGGGGCGGCTCCTTCCGCCGTCTCCGCCACGCTGGAGGTGTACAACACGGTCCTGAAGGAGATGCTGCCGACGCCGGCGAAGTCCCACTACACGTTCAACATGCGAGACGTCGCCAAGGTCTTCCAGGGTATCTGCCAGTGCACGCGCGAGTCTCTTCCGAAGGTGGACGACCTCGTCAAGGTCTGGGCGCACGAGTGCGAGCGTGTGTTTAAGGACCGCTTGGTCAGCAAGCAGGATTTGATGTGGTTCTTCGGCCTGTGCAAGCGCCAGATGGACCGCCACTTCAAGAGGCCATACGACCAGGTTGTGAAGATGGAGCCGATCATATTTGCAGACTTCGTTGACCCCAAGAGCACCAGCTACATGGAGGTAGTGGACCACGAGAGGCTGACGGCCAAGGTCTCGGAGTGCCTGGAGGACTACAACTCCGTCAGCAAGATCCGCATGGACCTCGTGCTCTTCACCTCGTTCATCCAGCACATCTGCCGGGTGATCCGCGTCCTCAGGCCAGATACCCACCCTCCCCTCGTTTGCCTCCTCCTCTCTGTGGTGCCCCGCGTCCGGTCGGACCTAGACATCCTCTTCTTGCTACGTTCGCGTCGCCGCCTCCGGGGCGAAGCTCACACTGAGGCATCTTGCAGCACGCGCACCGTGGCGGGCGTGGCCTGGCCACGCCGCTTGTGGACGGCGGCACGCTGCAGAGGATGTCTGCGCCGCGTGTCCTGGCTGGGCGTGCGCCTTCCAAGCGGTGGCGCATGGCACCGGCGTGTCCCTCTGCACCCCCAATGCGCCCCCTCTGCGCCCACAGTCGAGCCGCACCACAGGGACGAGTGTGCCCTTCCCAGGTGATGGGCCTGTTTTGCACCATCACCACCAGAAGTTGGAGGGGGAGGGGGTCCTCCTCCTCCTCCTCCTCCTCCTCCTCCTCCTCCTCCTCCTCCTCCTCCTCCTCTTCGTCCTCCTCCTCCTCCTCCCCCTCCTCGTTCTCCTCCTCCTCCCCCCCTCCAACTTGTGGTGGTGGTGGCGGAAAACGGGCCCATCAGCCTCGCCTCTCGCCACGGCCCTGCCCTTGGGCCTGTGCCGCACAGCCGTGGCCCGCGGGCCGTCCAGCTTAGGCTTCTCAGCCTGGGCGCCCTGGGGAGCCAGTGCCCCCGCCGCGCGTCTCCTCGCGGCGCGGTCGCGGCTCGGGAGCTCCCGCACGAAGCGAGCCCCACCCTCCCCCTCAGAGCTCGTGGGGGGCAGGGGTAGGGTTCGCATGTGGCCCCCGAAGGGTGTTGTGGCGACGGCGTGGGCCGTTCTCGTTCCGAGGCTTCGTTTTGCATCGCGGCCTCCGACCGCGCGAGGGCGCGAAGAGGCGCGAAGAGGATGGTGCTCCGCGCCTCGCGGGGGGGGGCGCGGAGGCGAGGGGCAAAGGGTTGGCCCAGGGCCTCGAGCGCGGCCGCGTGAGAGATGCGCGGGCGGGGCGCGAGCGAGGAGGGAGTGGTGTCCTGGGGGGCCAGCAGTGGCGGACGAGGAGCGGCACTGATGGGCCTGTTTATCGCCACCACCACCAGAAGTTGGAGGGAAGAATCAAGGGAGAAAAAACAACCCGGACCCGACCATTGGCGTTTACCAAACGGCCCTGGGCGTTTACTAAACAGCCCTGCTTGCGCGTTTGCTAAACGCCTTGGAGTGTCGGTGTGATTATTATGGGGGTGGATTTTCTGCCTTCTAAAGAAGAAGGTGGATGATGATGATGATGATGATGATGATGATGATGATGATGATGATGATGATGATGATGATGATGATGATGATGATGGTGATGGTGATGGTGATGGTGATGATGATGATGGTGATGATGATGATGATGATGACGATGACGATGATGATGATGATGATGATGGTGGTGGTGGTGGTGGTGGTGGTGGTGATGATGATGATGATGATGATGATGCTGATGATGCTGATGATGATGATGATGATGATGATGATGATGATGAGGAGGAGGAGGAGGAGGAGGAGGAGGAGGAGGAGGAGGAGAAAGAAGAAGAAGAAGAGGAGGATGAGGACCCCCTCCCCCTCTCTGCTTATGGTGGTGGCGGTGGGAAACAAGCCCACCAGGCATGCAACCTTTTTTTCCCGACATCGGGGGGATGCCCACCGCCTCTTTCCTGTGTCTCCTCCGTGCCTCCTTCTCCGTAGCCGTGATGTCTCGAGGCGTAGGCGGGCAAGGAGCGACTGTGGACGAGGAGCGGCACAACCATCCAGCTTTCGCGCGGAAGACCGCTGGAAGCCGCCAAAGACCGCCAGAAGCCGCCGAAGACCGTCCGAAGGTCGCTGGAAACCGGCGAAGACCGCGTCATCGGGGGATGCCCGCCCCAGGGCTTGGTGGCGCGCAGAGGGGGGTATGGGGGAGGGGGAAGGCTTCTTAGAAGCACCCCTGCTGCTTAGGCGGCGCGGGCCTTGTCTGCAGATGTCAGGCCTGCGCCCTCGAAGACGCAGCCTCCTTCTATCAGGAGGGGAAAAACACACAGACACAATTCATCGTCGATTCCCAGGAAAGGATGCGAAACTGTGGGAAGAGTGGGGGGGGGGGAAGACAGCAGCCCAGAAGACACGTGAAGGTATGGGGAATCCTGGGATCTGTGTCTCTTTATTTTGTGTGTCCCGGGGCCCCTTTCTGCCAGGAAGCCTCCCCCCCTCCCCCCCTGCCCCCTGGTGCGCGCCGCCACGCCGTCCAGGGCAAGCACCACGCTGGGCCGAGGCTCCTCGCGCAGCGTCGCGGCCCCTGCCTTCCCCGAGGTCCGCCGCTGCAGAGAACGTGCAGCATCGCAGGAAATCACGACCAGGACCCTGGACCCCTACTTCAGATTTCGTAATAAAAGGGAGGGGTCTCATTTCGGGGGGGTCTCTTCCAGGCTATCTTGGAGGGCCTGGGGGGTCTGGGGACGATGTTTTGGAGGGTTCTCCCACGGGGGGAGGTCTGAAATGGCTTGTCTTGGAGGGTCCAGACCCCCTCCCTTTTATTACGAAATCTGGAGTATCTTTTTTTGCGCCAGAGCTAGGGCGGTGTGTGCGTTGACCCCAAAGGAGCGACGCGCGCGCCGAGAACTCTTGTGGTGTTCTAAGCCCCGTGGCGGGCGCTCTTTTCCGGCCGCACCGCTCGGGAAACGACACCACTAGGTGGTTGTACTGTGTGTTCGGATCGGACGGGCGCCTCGAAGGAAGACATATAATAGTGCTAGTATGTCTTTGCGCGCCCAGATGGTGGTCATAGCGCCGATGACCGATGGTCATAACGCCGATTACCGACTTGCTTCCTCCCCAGGCTGCCCCTTGGCAACGCCCTGCTGGTCGGCGTGGGAGGCAGCGGGCGCAAGGCCACGACCACCCTGGCGACCTACGTCGCCCAGTACGAGCTCTTCCAGATCGAGATGTCCAAGGGCTACGGAGCCTCCCCTCTCTTGCCTGTTTCCTCCGTGGCCCTCCCCATCCTGCTCTCCCACACCCCCATCCCTCAATCATCTCCCTCTCCCTCCCCTCAATCATCTCCCTCTCCCTCTTCTGCCCCCCCCCTGTCTCCTCCGCCGCCGCCCCCCTCCGCCTCTCACTCCTCCGTCCTCCCCCCTTCACCCTCTCCCTCTCCCCACCTTACCCTCTTCCAGCTTGCCCCCTTCTTCTCAGGACTCGATTCGCGTAGCTTTATCTGGCGTGTCATCCCTGCAGCTTCCACTTCAGTAAGAGTTTCTGAAGTTATCTACCAGCGTGCCGAACTCATTGCCGCATGTGGGCACTTGGCGGCTACTATACGATCCACCATCGAGCGTTATTCCTCGCCAGAGGTAGCGTAGCCTCCGCGCAGGACTGAACGAGTGGCACGACGACATGAAGAGGCTGCTGATGAAATCTGGCTGCACTGACCAGAACATGGTCTTCCTGTTCTCCGACACGCAGATCGCCAAGGAAGCCTTCTTGGAGGAGGTGAGCTCGATCCTCAACACCGGCGAGGTGCCCAACCTGTATGCGAACGAGGATGCCCGCGCGCCTTGCCTGGCGCCGCCGCTTGCGCACGCGTGCGCCCAGGCGGCCTCGCACCTTCCACACCCGGGAAAGGGCACCCCACGGGCACGAGAGATCCTCTGAGCTCTCTGGGGGCGACCTCGTTGCCTCCTTCCGCGCCCCCCTCCCCCTCCCCTCCTCCCCTCCTCCCCTCCTCCCCTTCTTTCGTTCTTTCCCCCCAGTCCTTCTCCCATCCTTGCTCTCCCTCCTTCCCCCCCTCCTCTGCTTCCCCTCCTTCCTCCTTCCTCCTCCTGTCTTTCTCCTCCCCTCCTTTCCCCCCCCCCTTTCCCCTCCCTTCCTCTCCTCCCTTCCCCTCCTTACTTTCCCTCCTCCCTTCCCCTCCTCCTTTCCCGTCCTCCTCCTGATTCTCTTCCTGCTCCTTCTCCCTTCCCCTCCTCCCCTGCGCTCCCCTCCTCCAGCTTTCAATCTTCCTCTATCCCCCCAGGATCGATCTTGACCCGATCGATCCGGCTCGATGTCGATTTCGACTGGCCCGATCCGATTTGGTTCCGATGCTCCGGTGATCCGATGTGCCCCGATGCCTGCATGACTCAGGAGTGGAAAAACACAGACAACTAGTCGTCGATTCCCCATTTTGGCTCAAGTTCTGGCACAAGCCATGGCAAACTCAAAAGTACCACGCCGCGTGTGGTACTTTTCGGGCAGTTATGCCTCATCATTTCCACTTTATCTTCATGTTATCCTCCTGCACGATCGATGTCCAGAATGGCCGCAGCTCCGGGCGTTCTGCTGGCAGGTGCAGCTGCTGGTGCCGTTGCTCCATGCCGGCTACCTCATCGATGGCTTCTTCGGGTGACGGCGAGCCAGGTACCCCCGTCGGACATTTGTTCAAACAGCACTGGATTCACAGCCCGCTGAACGAGATGGACGACAGTGCTGGATAATCTACCGGACGTGTTCAGGTACCTCCTCCCTTTCCTCAGCTGGGGAATGCCACCTTCGCAGGGCAACCTACGGGACTCACAGCAGCTACTTTCGAGGCCATTTTGAAAAAACACTTGGAGCCGATCAAGAGTGACATTCGAGCCATCAAGCAGCACGGCGTCTCACAGGAAGACCACATCGACCAATTGCGGAAACCCGCCACGAACATGGAAAACGCCATCCACGAGATAAAGCATGACATGATGAATTTCACACCGTTCCGAGATCGGTGTCAGGGGCGCCACAGGCCGGACATCCAGCCTCTATTGGGAAGTCGCCCACCGACAAGCGGTCTACCGCAGCGGTAGTTGGAAACTTGGATGGCCTCGACTCCTTGGAAGCAGCGTCAGGTTGGCTGAAAATCAGATCTCGCGAAGGGGGGCGCCACCGCGGACAAACATGCATCATAAAAGGATGTAAAAGGCGACGTCGTGTTTTGCGAGTTCGACAGAAACTTAAAACAGTTTTACGGGGACGATGTTTTCACTATTTTTGGCCATGTGTCAGAATTTGTGGAGTTTTTGTTATATATATATATATATATATCAAAGCATGATATGTATGTTTGTGTATGTATATCTATGTATATATATATATGTATCTACATTGTTGTTTATTTATATGTAGATAACACAGAAGTCGTCGAACATCTGCTTGTAGGGTGACATGCCCGACGCAGTGCTATACTTACCTGGGCTTTTCCTGACCGTCCGCAACTTGCCCTGGCAGCGCGCAACTGCTGTTTCAGTTTCAAGTGCTTTCTGAAAAAGGCATGAGCATGGACTACACCGTGCGAGTTTACGACCAAAACCGGTACTCAGTTGAAGATGGTGGTGACTTTGCGGTTGCGTTGCGCATCGACCGGGATACTGTCAAATGGACGTGGGCGACTGATTGGGACAGGTGGCCCAAGTCGCACGTTTACCCGAAATTCAAAGCTTCCGCGGGGCGGGGCGAAGTTGCCGAAGCCGAGCAGTCGGTGTCTCTTGTATAGGAATTTGTGGGCACCAGTTAACCGACCCTACAGGCGCGGGCAAAACTGCCAGCGCCGGGAGTACCCATGGGGAAACTTCCCAGACAGAGGCACCGCGTATCTGCGTGCGGTGTGTTTTTTCCACCTTCTGGTCTCCCCACTCATCCGCCAAGTTTCCCACCTAGTGCGACGGTCGCCCATTCCACGAGTGTGGGGGGGATACCTTTTTCGCGCAGTTACCCGCAGAAGATGTCCCAGCTTCATGTGTCGCTGTTGTTTACTTTTTGTTTGCGTCATCAACGATGCTCCAATCTGCTCCGTCCTTCCCGCAATCGTGTGTCAAGTCGCGTGGGCGATCCTTGTCGCAGTGCTTTCGCAGCGCATTTTCAGGAAAAGCGTGGCTGCCCAGGGGAAATCCGCAGCGCGGCGAACCCGAGGCCAGCATGCATGGGGCGGCTTGTCTCTCGGAGCGTGGGGGGGGTTCCAGATGAGAAGGGCATGCATGCAAGTAACTTGGAACATATATATTTGGTCATGAACATCGAGGGCGTCGCCTTTCTGCGCCTGCGAGAGACGCTTTTGCCGGGCTCAGCTAATTGCGCCTGCAGGGGCTTCCTTGTGATGGTGTCGGGGGGCAGCGATGGTGATCTTATGGGGGGGCCGCGTGCGCGGCATTTAATCCTGGGCTTTTCGCCGCAAGGTTCGCGCATTGCTGCCGTGGGGGTCCGGGTCGAGGGGGGCCAGCTGAGCGCCGTCGCCGGTTGTGCTCCCCACAGCGGCCACCCGCTGGAGGAGCGACATCATTTCTTCTTTTAGCTTGGCGGGGCTGCCCGCAAGTCGAAGACGCATGGGTTAGTCTTTGTCCCGGGTGATCTGAAGTGCCGTTTACGCAAGAGAAGCGCTGGAGAGCATGACGTGCTGGGGTACTCGGTTTTCGGGGGCCTCTCAGCAGTGCTCGATGCAGCTAACAACCGAGGGCTCTTGATCGAAACGCGCAGGTCTATGCGAATGGTCGTGGCCGACGCCTTTCTCGAGCGCCCGTTGCGCGAGCGGGTTGCCTACTGCGACCTCGCCGCCCGCCCGCTCGACGAGATCGCCGCGTGCACGTTTGCGGAAATCGACCGCGTCTTGGCGCGCTGGCACTGGCAGAGGCCAGCGCGCCGCACGCGGAGCAGGAGAGACATCGCGCTACAGGCCCCTACTTCATCATTCTGTTGACACCAACGTTAGAATCCCGACGGGGCCGCCCAAGATGCGGGTGGAGAAGCGAGATGTCATCAGTTTGATGGAAGCCTCCCGTGCCGACTGTTGTTGCATTTTCGGATGGCACCTGGGACCTCCGGCGCGCGCGTGGCGACTGGGATGTTGGCGAAATGGCGGGGCCGGTGAGATCTGCGGCGGAGTTCGCGGCGAAGAGCGCGCTTCCAATCCGGTCGGTGATCGCGAAGCGGCCGCGGATCCGAGTCGTTTCTCTCGGACTAATCGAGCTTCGGAATAATGCCCCGATCGAAGGGCATTTCGTGTTCGAGGCGTCTCTGAGCAAACAAATCAATGCTGCTGCCGCGCGAGGCCGGGCCGTGTGATATCCGACTGAACGTGGGCGGTCCGCCATGAAGCGATTGCGGGGGGGATCTTCGCACCCGCAGGGGCGACCGCATAATTGGGCTGGCAACCTAGTCGACTCCAGCGAACGGGCGGCGATCATGATGTCATATTCACAAAATGTGCAATGGGTGTTGAGATCCGGCTCTGGCGAGGGCGCGCCGGCCGAGCCTAGATTGGCCTGGTGCTTGAGATGCCCGTCGGGGAGTTCCTCGTGGCGAGCTGAACAGAGTATTGTCGCGTCTGCAGACTGGAAAAGCAAGCTGTCCTGGCGATGTCCCGCCACTTCTGGGCGACCCTCGGCCGCTATGCGACTTCTCTAGACATCTTGCTCGGGCTGTGCAACTCATGTTGATAGTCTCGGACGATTCCTCAATCTTGGGCTCGTTTCTCAGTGCCTGCAATCTGCGGGAGGCGCTCCAGCGCTGCAGTCGAACAGCCGCCCCGTGCCCCTCTTGGCAGTTGGTTGCAAAGTACTCGCGGCCCTGATTCTGGAGCGGCTTCGAACTGGAGGGGTGGGGCGCCGCCTGCGAGGCGATCAATTTGGTATTCGCCCCGCCGGAGGCGCGGGCGCGGTCGTCCTCGCGGTGTAACTTATCATGGGCGCAGCGCAGGACCTGCGAGATGGCGAGCTGTCTGTGATGCTTTTGGACCGGTCGAAGGCGTTCGATCGCGTCGGCCCGGGCGCGATGCTAGCGGCCCCGCGCAGGTTTTGTCTTCCAGGAGCGCACGTCGACATGGCGCGCGCAGATGCAGATCGTTCGCCGCGAGGGGCGCCAGCAGAGAGTCCGCGGCGCGCGCGGGCAGCTGGCGCTGCGCTGGGGTGCCCGCTGTCCCCGTGCTCATGCATCGTCGCCCTCGCAGTGATCTTGGTGGACGTGAGCTGGGACCTGCTTCAAAGCTGACGACGTCGAGTGTGCCGACGACGCGGCGTCGACGCGTGCGTGGCCGGCTTGTTTGCAGGCCGTTCTGGGCAGCCTGTCCCGAGCCGACCCCGGCGTTTTCCTTCCCAAATTGGGCAGCGTCGTCGCCCTCCGCATCGGCGGCCCAGCGCCGATCATGGGCCCGAGCGGGTGTCCGACAGCGCGTTTACTCTGGTGATCTATGAGCAATCAGCGGTTCCGCTCGGTGCGCGGGGGAGGCGCGGGGCAGGTTCGCACTCCTGGAGGCAGCCTGGAGCCGCTCTTGATTGAGCAGAACTAGGAAGCGCGGGTTGTCTGAAGCATGCGGCGTTTTCAAGTTTTTGGGCAGTTTAGAAATAGAGCGATTACGCGAGGTTGAAGTAATTCTTTCGCGGTTCTGGTTTGAGGAAAATCTGGGGGATGCGCGCCCGATGATTTTAAGAGTGTCATGCGACAGTGTTTTGGGCGTTGCCTCTGCGCGCCCCTGGCGGACCAGTCTGTTCGCCGAACAGTTGTGCTTGTTTTGATCACTGGCCCTCATGCCAGGCGCCAGTGTTGTTCGCAAAACCATTTTTCGACTCTCGTCGACGCAGCTGGCCCGGCTGGCCAGCGTGCGAAAGTGCGGGCGCCCAAGATTATCGTGGGGGCCCAAAGCCAGGCTGCGTGAGCTCATGGCCGCGGGTGGGGGCGACTACCGTTTGCCCGTGGTTCTGGGTAGGAATAGTGGCTGCTTCAACACTGGGAAAGCCATTGTCCGACAGCATTCAGATATTGCGTTTTGAATTGTTTGCGCTGCTGCCGATGCGTCGTCATGGCGCGGCTTTGACATGGCCTCGCCTCGATGCCCCCAGGGTCGATCTTGACTCGACCGATCTGGCTCGATGTCGATTGCTACCAACCCGATCCGATTCGTTTTCGATGCTCCGACGTTTCAATGTGGCCCGATGCCGTTGTGGCTCAGGAGGGGGGAACACACAGACACAAATAGTCGTCGATTCCCCGGAGGATGTGGGAAATATGGGAAGTGGAGGGGAAAACGAACCTCCAGGAAATGTGGGAAACGTGGGGGAATCCTGGGATTTGTGCTTATTTATTTGTGTGCCCCCGGGCCCCGTCAGTGGCGGTGTCGTGCATCCTGGCCCGACCGATCGGGCTCGATGTCTACATTGGCGGGCCCGATCCGGTGGTTCGGTTCCGATGTTCCGTCGATCCGCTTTTGCCCGCTGCCTGCATCGATCAGGAGGGGAAAACACACACAGACACAAGTAATCGTTGATTCCCCAGAAAACACGGACAGCATGGGAAGCGGAGGGGAAGACGAACACCCAGGACATGCATGGAACATACGGGGAATCTTTGGACTTGTGTCTATCTATCAGTGTGTCCCCAGGCCCCTTCAGTGGTACTTTGGGCGGGGCTTGGGCGAGGACGAATCCGTTCCAGAGCGTTCCGGAATGCTCCGAGAAGGCAGCGGCGCCCGATACATCTTCCAGAACCGCTGGATTTCAGAGATTTTCTATTTATCATCGCCCGAACCAGATCCCCGACGTCATGATTTTTCATAACGTCGACCCGAAGAGGTCTCGACCCATATCCCGGGGCCAGTTTCTCATCCTGAGTCGCTTTTTGACGGCCCCGAGGCCCGGTGAGGGCCCCTAGAGGCCGAAAAGAGGGCAAAGCCTCCCGTCGCGATTTGTGCACAGCGACAGGGGGGGTCTGGATGTATCCTCGCCCGATGCTGTCCTCGCCGTGGCGGCGTCTCACTGTGGTGGTGCATCCTGGCGCGGCGGGTCCCATCCGAGTGTCCGGCCCAGTGCCGCCGCGCCCCGGCCCGCCGAGCCCAGGCGCGGGGCCCCGAGGGGCCGCCGAGCCCCCGCGTTCCCTCCGCGGCCTCCCAGCTGCCGCCGGGGGGGGCCCTGCGCGGCCTGCAGGCCTCGACCTCTCGACGGGCTGGGAGGCCTGCGCATCGGGGGCGGCCAGACAGGGGGGGCAGTGGTTGTGTGCGGGTCGGAGGGGTCGGAGGATCGCGCGCCGCATCGCCGGTGCATCGCCGGTGCGGCTCGATGCGGAGCCCGACTTGCTTCCCGCGGACGTCGCCGACTCCGACGTCGCGGATGCATCGCTGGTGCATCGCCGATGCATCGCCGATGCATGGCCGATGCATCGCCGATGTATCGCCGATGCGGCGCGATCCTCCGACCCCATCTACTCCGACCCCATCTAGGAGGCCTCTAGAAGACCGCTCCTCTCTTCCTTCCACCCATGCATCCTGCAATCTTCTCGGCTCAGGTATTCGGCGTTGAGCCCGATGACTATCGGGCCGTGAGAGGGAAAAAGGCGCTTTCACTCTTCTCATCTCGTCCTCTACCAAAGGATTCGACGGTTGGTTCGACCCTTCAGTTTGTAACCTCCGTTCACAATGATCAGAGGAGTGGATCTCATGGCGAGGGTCATGACATATCTCCCCAGATCTCATGGCGCTTCGTCTTGTTTCATTACGTCCCCGCCCCCCCCAGGCCGTGCACGTGCCACCGGTCATTATTTGCGCCCCTCCCCTCTTAGGCGCCCCTCCTGTGGCCGGCCCCAAAAACATGTCCACTGCTCCCTGGCCAGGCCCACCCTGAAAACATCAGCTGTGTATACGCCCTCTTGGCCAAGCCAGGGCGGCGTGGCGTATGCACCGCTGCTGAGTTCAGCATGGGCGTGGCCATGGAGCAATGTACATTTATAGATCTCGTCGTTCTAGGAGCACGGAGCGCCCCCCTGGGGCAGCCGGCGGCGACGACGACGACGACGGCGGCGGCGGCCCCGCTCCACACGGCGGCGGAGGACAAAATGGAGATCTCCGAGAAGTGCAGCAAGGGCGCCGGCGCCGCGGGGCGCACGGGGCCGGCCGAGATCTTCGCGTGGTACGTCGAGCAATGTCTGGGGGCGGGCCGGCGGGGCATTTCCTGACAGGGGCAGCGGCAGGGGAGGAGGGGCGGAGCTCGTGGACGAGGCCTCCGTGCGCGATCGCCCAGCGTGGGCCCAGAGCTGTGGTTTTTGGCATGCCAGGCCATGGGATCCATGTACATGGTGCAAGCTATGTGGTGCAAGCTATATGGTGTAACCTATGTGGTGCAGTGCGAATCTCTCTCTCTATATATGTATAGATATCTATATATATACACATATGCATATTTGTATATGGATAATCGTATTTGTATTTGTATTTGTATATGTATGTGTGTTTGTATTTGCGTGTATATGTATATGTATATGTAGATGTATATGTATACGTATATGTATATGTATATGTGTATGTGTATGTGTATGTAACTCTATTCACATATGTATATGTATTTGTGTATGTATATGTATATCTATGTGTATGTGTATGCCTAGGTGTATGTGTATGTGTATAGGTATATGCATATATATACACAAGTATATATGCATATGTATATGTATAGGTGTATGTATATGTATACGTACATGTATATATGCATATGTATATGTAACTGTTTATGTATGTATACATATGTGTATACATGTACAACTGTATATGTATACGTATATGTCTATGTAACTGCATATGCACATGTCTGTATACATGTATGCCTGTATGTATGTATGTATGCATGCACGCATGCATGCATGTATGTATGAATGCATGCATGTATGTATGTATGTATGTATGTATGTATGTATGTATGTATGTATGTATGTACGTGTATACCTGTGTATGTGTGTATGTGTATGTATGTGTATGTATATATATATATATGTATATATATATATATATATATATATATATATATATATATAGATATACATATGCCTATTCGTCTTCCTATATCTTTACAAGCCCGGGGGGAGGAAAAACCCTCACCTCCCCCCCCAAAACTGGACCCCCCCGGGATCTTTGGTTCTCGTTCGGGCTCCCTTGGACGTCCTTGGAAAAGGTCACCCGGCTTTCCGGGTCATCATAAACGCCTTGCCAGCAGACCCAGAGCGATCCGAGGGGTCATCAGAAAGGCTGAAGGGAGGCCCCAGACAGCACAAGAGTGTTCCAAGAGGGACTCGAATTGCGTCAGGACGGCCCAAAAGACCCCCAAGGCACCCCAAAAAGCTTTCCAAGGGGCCTTTCAAGCACAAAAATCGTCCCATTCTCTTCGTAAAACTTACAATTTTAGCATACTCGCCTTTCGGATGTCATCAGCTTTCAAGACGGTTTCAAAGCCCCCGAGATCGCCTCCAGACGCCCCAAAAGGCCCCCAAGAAAGCTTCAAGACGGCCGAGCCGGGCCCCACGATCGCCCACGAGAGCCCCAAGACAGCCCATAATGGAACCAAGATGCCCCCCAAGGGCTCCCAGCACAGACCCAAATTGGCCATGGGAGGTCCCTGGCAGTGCCCAAGATGGGTCCAAAGGGGGCTCCAACGGGCCCAAGCTCCCCAAGACGGCCGAAGAAGGCCCCAGGACGGCCCATGAAGGCGCCAAAACGGCCCACGAGGGCCCCGAAAACACCCCCACGATGTTCCCGAATGCCAACATAAAGACCCCCAAGGCACCCCAAGAAGCTTTCCAAGGGGTTCAAAACACAAAAATCGCCCCATTCCTTCCGTAAAACTTACAACAATTTTAGCATACTCGCCTTTCGGATGTCATCAGCTTTCAAGACGGTTTCAAAGCCCCCGAGATCGCCTCAAGACGCCCCAAAAGGCCCCCAAGAAAGCTTCAAGACGGCCGAGCTGGGCCCCACGATCGCCCACGAGAGTCCCAAGACAGCCCATAATGGAACCAAGAGGCCCCCAAGGGCTTCCAGCACAGACCCAAAAGGGCCATGGGAGGTCCCCGGAAGTGCCCAAGATGGGTCCAGAGGGGGCTCCAGCGGGACCAAGCTCCCTAAGACGGCCGAAGAAGGCCCCAGGACGGCCCATGAAGGCGCCCAAACAGCCCACGAGGACCCCGAAAACACCCCCACGATGTTTCCGAATGCCAACATTCATTGATTTACGCGCGCATTCCCTTGGATTGACGATGCTTGGAATTATGATGCATGGCTTCACATTGGGTTGGAAGAGGGAGTCGTCAAATCCGCTTCGCCCGGGTATGCTCACAACTCCCACCTTGGAAACGCTTTGCCTCGCAGTGGTCCCGCCATTTTCGCCAGAGACATCCTGGCAACTCTGGAGTCCGAGACGCCCTGGCCTGAGGTGATCAGGCCAATTTCGCCTGAGACAGTCTCGCAAGTCTGACTTCGGAGGTGCCCTGCACCATGGTGGTTAGCCTACTCTTGCCTGCGACTTCTCGCAACTCTGGATTTCGGGATGCCCTGGGCTGAGGTGTTCAGACCACTCTTCGCTTGAGACTTCCTCGCAAGGCTGACTTCGGAGATGCCCCGCCCCATAGTGCTCGGGCCAGTTGCGCCTAAGACATCCTCGCAACTCTGACCTCGGAGGTGCCCTAGCCCAAGGTGGTCCGGCCACTTCCGCATGCGACACCCTCGCAACTCTGCGTCCGGGGATGTCCTCAGCTGCGGTGTTCCAGTCACTTTCGCCAGAGCCATCCTCGCAACTTTCGGTTCCGAGGTGCCCTGAGCTGAGGAAATCAGACCACTGGCCTGAGACCTCCTCCGAACTCTGACCTCGGAGAAACCCTGCCCCAAGGTGGTCCAGCCACTTCCGCTTTGAGACTTTCTCGCAACTCTACGTTCCAGGGCTCCTTCAGCTGAGGTGTTCGGGCCACTTTCGCTAGAAACGTTCTCGCAGCTCTGGGTTCCGAGCTGCCCTGCCCCATGGTATTCCGCCACTTTCGCTTGGGACATCCTCGCGTCACTGAGTTCCGGTCTGTCCTGAGCTGAGGTGTTCAGGCCGTTCTCGTTTGAGACATCCTTGCAACTCTGAGTTCCGGTATGTCCTGAGCGGAAGTGTTCAGGCCATTTTCGCTTCAGACATCCTCGCGCACTGACCTCGGCGATGCATTGTCCCATGGTAATCTGGCCATTTTCGCCTGAGACCCTCGCACCTTTCATTTGCGAGATGCCCTGAGCAACTGGTCAGGCCACTACCGCCTGAGATACGCATGTGTATGCGAACACACACACACATATATATATATATATATATCTATACATATGGGCGTGCACCGACAAAGCACGTACGAGTTGCACATGCATGTTCATATCTTTACACACGTAAAATTATATGTGCACATGTACGCTGTATGCACACATACAGCAATGCAAGTATATTGTATACACCTAGACATGTATACGGAACGTGCATGCACGTGCGCGTGTATACATGCATGCGCGGATGTACGCACGCACGCATTCCGCTTGCGTGCAGAACTCAAAGGTCCAAGGTGCATGGCGCGCAACGCCAATGCAGTCTTGTATGTATGTATGTATGTATGTATGTATGTATGTATGTATGTATGTATGTATGTATGTCTGTGTGTGTGTGTATGTTTGTATGTATGTATGTATGTATGTATGTATGTATGTATGTATGTATGTATGTATGTATGTATGTATGTATGTATGTATGTATGTATACATATATACATACATACATGTATGTGTCTGCATTCCCGTTCATACATTTTTATAGGGCCGGGGGGCCAGGAAAGAGCGCACCCCCTGACCCCCCCCAACGAAATTAGAATCTTCGGGCCTGTCTTGTACCTTGGGTTTTCTCTGATTTTCGACTCTGGGCCCTCTTGGGCCAGCCTTAGGCTTCTTTGGGCCCGTTTGGGGACTCATTTGGAGACGTCCTGGGGTTATCTCGACGCCTCAAGAGCTGATCGTAACCGAAAAGGCGAGAAAACCAAAAACATTTCTTTTCCAATGGGTTTCCATTGTTTTTCAATGCTCTGGGCATTCTTCGGCCAGCCTTGGGCCTCTTTTGGGCTCGTCTGGGGACTCATTTGGAGCCGTCTTGGGGCTATCTAGACACCTCAAGAGCCGATCGTAAGCGAAAAGGCGGGAAGGCCAAAAACATGGATTTCCAATGGGTTTTCATTGGATTTCAATTCTTTGGGCATTCTTCGGCCAGCCTTGGGCCTTTGTGGGCCTCGGCTTGCGCCTTTCTGGGGCCATCCTAGGGCTATCTTGATGCCTCCCGAGCCGACCAGAAGTGAAAAGGCGAGAATACCGAACACAATGCTTTTCCATTTTTTAAGAATTGATTTTCGAACCTCCAGGCCCTCTAGGGCCAGTCTGTGCCCTCTTTGGGGCTCGTCTGGGGACTCATTTGGAACCGTCCTGGGCGTATCTTGATGCTCAAGCGTCAATCGGAAGCGACAAGGCGAGAAGACCAAAATTATTGATTTTCCGATGGATTATCACAGATGTTCAATTCTTTGGGCCCTCTTCGGCCAGCCGTCGGCCTCTGTGGGCCTCGGCTTACGCCTCCCTGAGGCCATCCTGGGGTCATCTTGACGCCTCTCGAGCCAACCAGAAAGGAAAAGCGAGAAGGCCGAACACATTGCTTTTTCAATAGGTTTTCAATATGTTTTCTCTGATTTCCGACTCTCCAGGCCCTGTTGAGCCAGCCTGGGGCCTCTGGGGCTCGTTTGGAGACTCATTTGGAGCCGTCCTGAGGCTATCTTGACACCTCAAGAGCCGATCGTAAGCGAAAAGGCGGGAAGGCCAAAAACATTGATTTTCCAACGGGTTTTCATTGAATTTCAATTCTTTGGGCCTTCTTCGGCCAGCCCTGGGCCTCTTTGTGGCTCGAAGCCGGCAGCCCAGCAGCGCACATGCCAAAAATAGTATGTTCTGTAGGAGGTGGAGGAGGAGGAGGAGGAGGGGGAGGAGGAGGAGGAGGAGGTAGAGGAGAAGGAGGAGAAAGAGGAGGGGGAGGAGAAGGAGGAGGAATTAGAGGAAGAGGGGGGAAGAGGAGAAAGAGGAGGAGGTGGAGGAGGAGAAAGGAGGAG